GTGTATGTTTATGTGTGGGCTATTTGTATTATTTGTATGAGGGGAGGGTTATTCTGTATTTCTGTGTATATCTAGCAGTGTAGGTGGCTTCCCTGGGTTCCAGTGGGGACCAGGCTGGCCAGATACAGGTCAAGGACAGGAGCTGCGACAGCAGCTATGGGCTGCTCTACTAGTGTGGTTTCGTATTCACAAGTGCTGGGAGGAAATGATCTGAGATCACGTCCTCTGCGTGCTGCAATGCATTAAATTGAGGATTGTTCTTCATCACCTTTTCGTATTAGCAGATATCTGAAGTTTCACTGGGACTCCTGGTAGGCCAGAGCCTTTGGCTCTAGCAGCCTTGAGTGCCGTGCAAAGACATCTTGAGTGCCGTGCCTGGCACACGTGCCATAGGTTGCCTACCCCTGGTATAGATCATGCCTCTGAAGTTTCCCTGCTTAATTCTCTGTCATTGAGGAGTTAAACCACGTTAGCTTCTGTCCATACCTCCCCTGGCTATAACAGACACAACATGCATGAAAACAAAATGGTTTTCTCATCTATCAGGTGTAGCTTACTTTAAAAGTTTTTTATCTCCTGCTCTGTAATTTGAACTATACAGGAGACTCATAAAGGGTCCAGCAAGCTATTAACAGAGCAGGAGATAAGAAATTCTAAATGGAACTAATTTTGCAATAAAGGAAGTGTAAACATTAGATTTTACTTTACAGGAAGTGTTTAGGAAGGCAGTGCAAGTCATGTGCAAAGAGGTGTGACTAGGGCTGCATAAACAAAGTGATTTAACTCCTAAATGGCAGAGAAATTAGCAGTGAGACTGCAAGGACATGATCTATACACCAAAACTCCTTCATTAGACTAAAGTTGTTTTGGTGACTATAGTGTCCCTTTAAAATTGAGTGCTAAATGCACCACAAATAAAACATTTTAAATATATTAACCCTCTAAAGGACTACTTGTAGCACCATAACCACTAGCTGTAGAGTCATTAGTGCATTGGCACCTCTACAATGTAACCAGTCTGTAAATAGTCTGCTAGTGGTGTGATAACTTACCTGAGGTCTGAGGTGTCCCAGTTACCTCTCCTATGAGCAGGCTTTAGCTCAGGAGAAGCCCATGGAGGAAGTGATCAGAACCTGGTAGACCCAAGTAAATTTTGACTACTTACATCAAGGGCGCCAGGACACTCCTAGCACTATAACCACTACACAGCGCAAAACAGTTGTATACCTGTAAGAAATTCAAAACACTTGTACACCTCAGACATTTAAAATCCCTTGTTCTAAAATATTCTATGCATATTTTAAGACATAATTATTGAATTTAAATGGTATACAGGTGGCCCTCGTTTTGCAACCCACCTGTTTTACGATGGCTCACACTTACGACCATCTCTCTCGCGGGGTGTTAAGTGCGAGCCGTCATGGGGAATTAGAGGGATTCCCTGCTCTGCTGCGTTCTTCTATGTTCGGGGAAATGTCCCTGAACATAGACGAACGCTACAGAGCAGGGAATCCCTCTAATCTATGTTTGGGGAAATTTCCCCCAGCATAATATAGAGGGATTCCCCGCTCTGGTGCGCATGTCTGTGTTCATGGACATTTCCCTGAACATAGACGAACGCAAAAGAACCTTTGTTAACATTGCTCATTGATTAATGCAAGCAAATAAATGTAACTATATGCAAGTCTCTTTTCAGGTATCTGCTAATAGTGAAAGAGGAAGTGGGCACTTTGAATAAAACTGAGTAAAAGCTATTTTTTAATTTAGATGTTTAAGGATCTGGAGGTCCAAAAGGCATTTGGGAGTTTAGCTTGACCTTTTCCCACTGTTTGTCTTTTTTATCTTTATGCCAAATAAGCTTTGCTTGGACTTTAAAGGACCACTAAAGGACCCCGACCACTTCAGCTCAATGAAGTGGACTGGGTGCCAGGTCCTCCTAGTTTTAACCCTGCAGCTGAAAACATAGCAGCACTGTTGGGTTAATCCAGGCTCTAGTGGCTGTCTTCACTAGAGGCGCTTGCACGATTTACACTGACCTCACGGACCTCCAGCGTAAAAAAAGACCCCAATAGGAAAGCATTGAGTAATGATTTCCTATGGGCGGTTTGAATGCGCGCGGGCCTCGGCCGCGCATGTGCATTCGGCACCACTCGGGAGCTGACGTCGATGGAGGAGAAGAGGTCACCAGCGCCGAGGGAGCCCGGCGCTGGATCAAGGTAGGCAAATAAATAGTTAATTAACCATTTATTCGCCACGGAATGGGGCCCTAGTCACCGTTTAGGAATACATATTTGTATTTGTATTCCTAACGCTAAAGTGTTCCTTTCTTTTGATTTTCCTCTTATTTTTCCAAGATTTGGAGTCCCTATGCACATTGTCTCATTTTTCAAAGTGGGACTTTTTCCTCCCATTACTTATTAGGTTTTCTAATTAATGCTCTTTGATAATTATTTTCAGAACCATATCTGATTCTGTTATCCGGGTAACATAGTTACATTACTGAAAAGAGACATGCGTCCATCCAGTTCAGTTTTGCTCACATTTGTTTTTGCTGTTGATCCAAAAAAAGGCGAAAAACCCCAGTTTGAAGCGCTTACAATTTTGCAACAAACTAGAAAAAAAATTCCTTCTTGACCTCAGAATGGCAGTCAGATATCTCCTTGGATCAAGAATCTAGATGTATTTTAAGCTTGAATTAAATGCTGTCTTTGGATGGGATAAGCCTTATTTTAACTGTCTCCTTTCCTATCTCCACCCATAAAAGGATAATCTTACATGCGAGCCCACTCCGAGGCTCCAAAGTTCTCCTATAGCTCGATCTTCTATGGGTGCTGACACTACCTCTCGCTGGAGGGATATCCCAGGGGATGGGCTTAGAGGAAGACTTTGGCGGCATGGGGGTAAGAGGTTTTTGGTTGTCAGCATAATATAAGTGCTGAAAACAGATGCCCAATATGCACAAAATTAACATTAGCCAACCCGGAACTCTTTATCTCGGTATGTGCAGCTTTTCAAATTGAAAGACTACGAGCACCATGACCACTGAAATGAGCTCGGATTAACCTTTCAACAGAATTACACAGACGGGGCGATAGATTGATCACTAGATATATGAGGTATATAGATGAGGGAATGTGTTCTGCAAGCACAATAAAACACTCTGTCATGGAGCACTTTCCCTCAGTACCCTCGACACCAAGAGGATTTAGAGTTAAATTTAGGGCATTTTAGGGCACAAACACTACTGTAACTCTCAGTGTTTGGGCAGCCCCGATGGCGCAGTGATAAACCATCCCTTTAACCTCCTGCCCCCCAAACATCAAATAATAAAAGACAAGGTAGCAGAGAAAGGAAGAACTGAGTAATGGATTTGCTCATCTCTCTTTATCGCAAAGATCCATGGATTCAGGAGGAACCACCTGTGAGGACTTTGTTACCACCATTACCAGCGAGTCAAAAACATAACCTTAGCAGGGTATATTTAACCAGCATGGTGTATGTTTGTACACATCTAAAGTAGACCTCATACATTCCATGTCCATAATCGTCAACACTCCATAATTAAAAAGTCAAAAAACAAAAAAGAATATGTTTTGCTCCATCTCTATAAAAGGGATTCCATAAGGTAACAATGGAACAACATTGTGCAATAAAGTATTGTCATTTATTTTACGATAGGAAGAACAGGAAATTGTTGAGCGTTTTGTACTCAGCAGACTTTTATGACAAATTGATTATTATTGGATGTTTTATGAGTAATTAATGAAAACATTTTTGATTAATATAAAGTGCACTGCGACTGTCTTGAGTTGAGAGTTTGGGATACAACTTTAATTTCTGCTTGCATCATAAATAAGCATAGTTGACAATGTAAGCAGATACTTACCCTTGGTTTCCTGGGAAGATTCTTGTTCTGCATCCTCGGTTGCCTCGACCTCCTTTGGCTGAAATCCGTTAACATGCGAGTCTGTCTCCTGGGCTTTCTTTGACGAGCACATGCTCAAATCTGGAACATGAGATAGAGACTTCAATACACACACACAGACGGACACACGTGTTCAATATCTTAAAGGGTAATCAATTTCTTGTATGTCCCACCGTTTAAATTTACTAGACCAGGCATACGCAACCATCGGGACTCCAGATATTTTTGACTACACCTCCCATGATGCTTTGCCAGCATTACAGGTGTAAGAGCATTATGGGGGATGTAGTCCAAAACATCTGGAGTGCCGAAGGTTGCCTATCCCTGTACTAGACAGTACTAAAAAAAGGAGAAAAGGGATTTGAATGCTGCTCTTGATGACAAAAAAATTGGATATTTGGAACATAGCATTTATATAATTACTATGCGCCCTTCAAGTTACTCCGATAAGATGTAATACGCACGTAAAATTGAAACAGCACTCACTAATGGAGGCTGTCTCTCACATAGTACAAAAGCCCATGAAAATGGGAAATTATCAAAAGTAGAGATACAAACTTTTATCACAACATGGAGAGCTAAAAGAAATAGTCCAAGCACCATAACCACTCTCAGCCAGTCTAGAACCAAATTCCGCTGCTGGGTTTAACTTAATGGAGAGGACTTCTGGCTCTCATGGAGCAAGTGACTGGAGAACGGCAGACCCCAGGTAGGTTAGCAACCCTTTAGCTACTTACATTGTGGGGGTGCCAGTACACTAAGAACACTGTAGTGGTTATGGTGCTTCAAATGTTTAATCAATACCTTAAAATAGTGATTTCACCATACAGGGTGACATGGATGTCAGTTACATATACCTTTTGTACTAATACGAATGCCTGTCTAGACGCTCATTTGTAATGATCCTTAGATAACATTTGCAAAATCTCTTTTATCTCATTCATTGATGTTTTTTTTAATCTTATTGTTCTTACGTTAAAAATATGGGAATTTTATGTACTTAATTCTTGTGACTTGATACTGTGTATTGCGAATGTTCCTTTCTTTTAAATCAGGGCTGTCCAACCTGCGGCCCCCCCAGATGTTGCTGAACTACAATTCCCATGATTCCCTGGCTATCTTTTTTTAATTGAAAGAATCATGGGAGTTGTAGTTCAGCAACATCTGGGGGGGCCGCAGGCTGGACAGCCCTGTTCTAAATGAAGAACTCAAAAAATATATAGTAGCTTCATTAGGATATGTAGAACCATTACTAAATAATATTGATAAGAAAGGTGATAAATAGTAGAAAAGATCATTCTGAAACTTCATCAGAAAATAATATTCATATCACTAATGTCACAAGCCGATAAAGAGGAACATTTTGTTGAATTTGCCTATACCTTTTCAGAGAGACCATAATTTTGATAGCTTCCCTCTTCACACGTCTTATCTTCACTTGTTAAAAATGTCAAAATGCTTAAACTGACATCTGCAGTCAGGTCCATAAATATTGGGACATCGACACAATTCTAATCTTTTAGGCTCTATACATACACCACGATGGATTTGAAATGAAATGAACAAGATGTGCTTTAACTGCAGACTTTCAGCTTTAATTTGAGGGTATTTACATCCAAATCAGGCAAAGGGTGTAGGAATTACAACAGTTTGTATATGTGCCTCCCACTTTTTCAAGGGACCAAAAGTAATGGGACAATTGGCTGCTCAGCTGTTCCATGGCCAGGTGTGTGTTATTTCCTCATTATCCCAGTTACAAGGAGCAGATAAAAGGTCCAGAGTTCATTTCAAGTGTGCTATTTGCATTTCGAATCTGTTGCTGTCAACTCTCAATATGAGATCCAAAGAGCTGTCACTATCAGTGAAGCAAACCATCATTAGGCTGAAAAAAACAAAACAAACCCATCAGAGAGATAGCAAAAACATTAGGTGTGTCCAAATCAACTGTTTGGAACATCCTTAAAAAGAAAGAACGCACCGGTGAGCTCAGCAACACCAAAAGACCCGGAGGACCACGGAAAACAACTGTGGTGGATGACCGAAGAATTCTTTCCCTGGTGAAGAAAAAAACCTTCACAACAGTTGGCCAGATCGAGAACACTCTCCAGGAGGTAGGTGTATGTGTGTCAAAGTCAACAATCAAGAGACTTCATCAGAGTGAATACAGAGGGTTCACCACAAGATGTAAACCATTGGTGAGCCTCAAAAACAGGAAGGCCAGATTAGAGTTTGCCAAACAACATCTAAAAAAGCCATCACAGTTCTGGAACAACATCCTATGGACAGATGAGACCAAGATCAACTTGTGCCAGAGTGATGGGAAGAGAAGAGTATGGAGAAGAAAAGGAAATGCTCATGATCCAAAGCATACCACCTCATCAGTGAAGCATGGTGGTGGTAGTGTCATGGCGTGCATTTCACTTGATGAAGACAAAACTGAAGGGAAAATGCCCCAAGAACAAGCAGGAACTGAAGACAGTTGCAGTAGAGGCCTGGCAAAGCATCACCAGGGATGAAACCCAGCGTCTGGTGAGGTCTATGCATTCCAGACTCCAGGCTGTAATTGACTGCAAAGGTTTGCAACCATGTATTAAAAAGTGAAAGTTTAATTTATGATTGTTAATCTGTCCCATTACTTTTGGTCCCTTAAAAAGTGGGAGGCACATATACAAACTGTTCTACTTCCTACACGTTCACCTGATTTGGATGTAAATACCCTCAAATTAAAGCTGAAAGTCTGCAGTTAAAGCACATCTTGTTCATTTTATTTCAAATCCATTGTGGTGGTGTATAGAGCCAAAAAGATTAGAATTGTGTCGATGTCCCAATATTTATGGACCTGACTGTATAACCTGTCTAGTTATTTTATAACTAGTTCATGTGGTTTGACTTTTATTCCATTCAATAAGTTCTATTCTATCTGGTTGTTACATCTTTTTAATTTACTCATGGCGTTTGATAGTGAATTAGGCGCTAAGGTCCGTTGAATGAGGTAATGCTACAATACTCACATGGGCTTTGAATTTTGAAAAACCTACGAATAAAATAGTATAGCGTTTGTTTGCATGAGGACATAAATAACCAATCTTTCGTGAGAACAGCTTTGAATATAATAACAATGTTGTTTCCTGTAAGTTCACTGATATGACTGTGCCGATAGATGTATTAAAGGGAGCTGGAAGGGTGCCAACTGTAATCTAAGTCATGTGGCTTATTCCAAAAATGCAGTAACAAAATAAGATTTGCATCTTTAAGGTATGCAATACTTCCACTGGTATCGTATGGGACATCACGTTAAAATCAACACAGATAATATGTAAAATACTCAGCTTTCATTCCATATCAAATCTAGAATTATTAATGGCATTAATTTAGCAGCAATGCTGATTTTCGTAGTGTAAATATAAAAGGTCCCTATGTTTAGACAGCCATTACATAGTTACATGGCTAAAAAAGGACATGCATTCATCAAGTTCAGCCTTTCTCACATCTGGTTTTGCTGTTGATCCAAAAAAAAGGCAAAAAAAATAACTTTTGGAAACAAAAAAAATTCCTGCCAAGAATGACAATCAGATCTCTCATTGGACCAAGAAGCTATTACAATTTAAAAATGATGTCCATGAATACTATGTTTTTGTAAATATTTATCCAATTGCTGTTTAAAAATCTGTACAGACTCTTCAGGCAGAGAATTCCACATCCTTATTTTTCTTATTGTAAAAAAAAAAAACCTTTCCGTTGCTTTAGACTAAATCTCATTTATTCCAGTTCAAATGTATGTATAGTGCTGTCTATGAATAGTTCATGATATGGGTTCCATATATCATTATCATCAAACATAAAATAGATGACAGGAGAATAGATATGACTGATAGTTTCATGTCGCTCCCAACAGAGATTCAAGTATTTTGTGACAGAAAATAATCCTGTCTTTAAAGTCCTTAGTGATATGTATATGAAGGTGAGGGGTGTTCTATAAGAGGCAAAAATAAAAATGAGACACAATGAGACATTACAAAACAGCAATGTGTCTTAGTAAAATGTGTTTTGGAAGTTGCAGATAGTTGAATGCTGATGGTAGAAAATGTATCTATTTACACTGACGGGCTATTTACTAAAGAGAGAATTCAAAATAAATAATTTGGACATTATTAATCATTCAAAATGGTGAATATCTGTCCAATCAGGAGATTTTTTTTTCTTTTAAATTACTGATTGTTCACAGTTTGACATAAAAAAGTGATGCAGTTGATTAGTCAAACAGTCTTAACGGTAAATTAGATCTGTAGTCATCCCGAGTGGAATTCCTCAAAGTGTGAGAACATAATAAATGAAGGCAATCTTGCTCAAAGACAATTCTCAGGTTCATAGGAAAATATCTGAAAATGAGATATTGTTTTTGTCCCTGCTAAGACACATCACATCGACTCTAGAAAAGAGTAGTGGTTGGGAAACCACATGCCATGGAATATATAAGTTTAAAGTGTGAGAATTGCGAGTGCAGAAAATGAACAGTAGTGTTTATATTGTGAACACATTGTAGTTACAAAAGGTCACATGATAACCAAATGGATGTAAGCCTTGTAGTCTCAAGAAATCTCTGTATGTCTGTAATAATCTGTAAGAACAAAATGCTCTTTGGAAGACGGGAGACCTCTGAATTTACCTAAAATTTACCTATTTACCTAAATTAAAAGTGAATTTTAAATTTTCAGAAAAAAAAGCAGGTCTGGAAAAAAATCTCTAAGTTGGCTATGCTCTCATTTCAGCTACTCTGGCTTATATTTGAAGTTCACTTTAAATTCACTCTGAATTCTCACATTAGTAAATAAGCCTGTTAGTATATAGAGCCAAAACTGGCCTCATTAGTGTCTTTCACTGTTCTTTAGAACTCATACTTGCCTTATTTATCAACAGTGACCAACTCGCTCCCATGTGGCCATGGAAAAGCTTTAAACTGTGATGTAATCTTTCTACAATAGATTGTTTAATGATAACAATTCCAAGTTCCAGTCTTCCACCTCACTTCGATCTGTCATGTACATCAATAACTTGTCTAACACTGGCATTCTTTTTTCAAAAAATATCTGAGGTGGTTTTGGGTGAGTGTGTTGTCTATTTGGGTGAGTGTGTTGGGTGACACTCTGAAACTATTAGGTAAACTCAGATGTCTCACCTGTCTTCCAAAGAGCAGACATACAGAGATTTCTTGAGACTACAAGACTTACAGCCATTTGGTTATCATGTGACCTTTTGTAACTACAATGTGTTCACAATATAAACACTACTGTTCATTTTCTGCACTCGCAATTCTCACACTTTAAACTTATATTTTCCATGGCATGTGGTTTCCCAACCACTACTCTTTTCTAGAGTCGATGTGATGTGTCTTAGCAGGGACAAAAACAATATCTCATTTTCAGATATTTTCCTATGAACCTGAGAATTGTCTTTGAGCAAGATTGCCTTAATTTATTATGTTCTCACACTTTGAGGAATTCCACTCGGGATGACTACAGATCTAATTTACCGTTAAGATTGTTTGACTAATCACCTGCATCACTTTTTTATGTCAAACTGTGAACAATCAGTAATTTAAAAGAAAAGAAAAAAATATCCTGGACAGATATTCACCATTTTGAATGATTAATAATGTCTGAATTATTTATTTTTAATTTTCTTTTTCCTTATGCAAATCAACTTATTTTTCCATGATTATTTCATTAGCACTTCTTTTTACTGAAATCTATGTTAAATCAGGTAGATAATCTACTATAAATAGAGATACCCACAATTAACCATTTCTATTATTGGGCAGACTAGATGGGTCGAATGGTTCTCATCTGCCGTCACATTCTATCTTTCTAAGTCTGCTGATTTTGCCACTGCCTTTTAATAATTCACTTCACAACAAAATGGGCTATCTTTTTAGGAGCAGACATTAAGAGATCAGATGGTACCAGGGGTAGGCAACCTTCAGCACTCCAGATGTTGTGGACTACACCCCCCATAATGCTCTGGCATTCATAATCCTGGCAAAGCATCATGGGAGGCATAGTCCAAAACATCTGGGGCGCTGAAGGTTGCCAATGCCTGTGTAGACATTCATTACTTTTTGAATTTCACTAGATATGTTTTGGGATTTTTTTACCTGCTGGTTCTGGCTGCTC